ACTTGCCTACAGGAAGCCATTGGCATGGTGACCTTGCCAGAGGAGGAGGAGCCCTTGGAAAAGGGTGAGGAAGCTTCCTTGAAAAAGGAAATTGCTGCAAAGCTGCCCTTGCAAAAGGGAAAAGCTGCTGATGAGATCTCTGTGGATTCTCATGGTGTGCCTCTGATCTTTTGCACACCAGACAAGGCAGGCAGCTCGTCCTCCAGACCAAAACCCTTCATCAACAGAAGGGAAGGCACCATGGTCCATGGACATAGCTCTCAGGCCTTGCAAAAGGCATTGGGATATGGTACCACTGAGCCAGCAGCAGCCCTTGCAAAAGGGAAGGTCCCTGCCAAAACCCTTGCAAAAGGGAAAGGCAAGAGCAACAATGCCTCTGCAAAGGCCCTTGGAAAAGGGAAGGGTGACAAAGCTGCTGCCAAGGCCCTTGCAAAAGGAAAAGGCAAGGGCAAGAAGGCCTCTGCAAAGGCCCTTGCAAAAGGGAAAAGGGGTGGCAAAGCCTCTACATAGGCCCTTGGAAAAGGGAAAGCTTCTGCAAAGGCCCTTGCAAAAGGGCAAAAGAGGCCCCTTGAGAAAGGGAGTGAGGGCCCCTGGTATGCCTTGAGAAAGACAAATGCCAAGAAGCCCAAGAGAACATATATCACAGGTGTCTTGGCACCAGGGAGTGGCCACCCAAGGAAGCTTATTGTGGAGGTTCCAGCCACTTGGAGCTCTCAGCATGACTTGATTTGCAACAAAATCATGAAAGCCTTGGGACAGCCTCAGCAAAGCAGAGGCCTTGAAGATGAGAGAGGAGCTAGTGGCAGCCTACCCTTGAGATGCTGTTGCCAAACACCCTTGCCAAAGGGTGAAGAGCTTGCTCACCCTTGCAAAAGGGTGCAGCCCTTGCCAAAGGGCATGAACCCTTGCAAAAGGAAGCAGCCCTTGATAAAGGGCATGAATCAATCCTTGCAAAAGGTGTTCCTTGCAAAAGGATGGAAGCAGCCCTTGAGAAAGGGCACAAATCAATCCTTGCAAAAGGTGTTCCTTGCAAAAGGATCGAAGCAGTCCTTGGTAAAGGGCATAAATCAACCCTTGCAAAAGGTGTTCCTTGCAAAAGGCTGGAAGCAGCCCTTGGCAAAGGGTGTGACCTAAAAGGATACCCTTGGAAAAGGGTTCTGCACCAAGACCTTGAGAAAGGGTTTTGTTAAAGCTAGGCCTTGAAAAAGGTTTGTACATATGTACATGTATAGCTGGATATAGTGCTAGCATCTTGGAGACAGCTGCTGCTGCTGCTGCTGCTGCTTCTAGCTGCTTTCTGGTGTTGGTTTCTTCTAGTTGTTTTTTCTAGGGAGGTGTTGTTGTTTTTCTTCTTGGTTCATGTGTTGGGTTTTGGTTTTGTGGTGTGGGTTTGGTGTTCATGCCTTGATGCACCTGCAGCCATTTGGGCTACAAGCGGCTCAGCTGAGCCATCTGTCAGGGAGCCACCCTGCAACATGGAGGTGGATGAAGAAGGAGATGTGGTGGAGGATTGGGAGATGTGGGATGTGGAGGAGGAAGAATGGGAGGAGGAGGACTGGGAGGAGGAGGAGTGGGAGGAGGAAGAATGGGATGAGGAGGAGGAGGAGGAGGGGGAGGAGGTGTCTTCAGGACCACCCTCCTCCTCCTCCTCTACCTCTACCAATGAAACAGATGTGGCCCCTGCCCCCAAGAGGAATGCCCATGGGAGGGTTTGGGGGCAGGGGTCCACATCCAGGGCCAGGCAGGCAAGGAGGGCTGCACAGTTTGGCAGACTCCATCATGCTCCTGCCCTTCCTGCTCCAAAAGGGCTTGCAAAAGCCAAAGCCAAAGGGCTTGCAAAAGCCAAAGCCAAAGGGCTTGCAAAAGCCAAGGCCAAAGGGCTTGCAAAAGCCAA